CCCTTTTGTGTCCAGTCCCACTTGACATTTGGGCTTGATTTAAGTTACAGAAGGTTTAATATAGTACAGGAATAATGGGATTAGGGAGGGGGATATAGTGAAGACCATGGCACTGTGACCTAAAAGAATCTAGCCAGGCTTCAATTTGTTTACATCATAGTTAAAGCTTGAATATATGAATAAGAAAAACCTTCAGTTGAGAATGTATAAATAAATTCTATTTAGTCCATTTGTCCCTGTGGTTCTTCCCATCTTTTTTACGGTGCATTTCAAAAGTTCCCCTTTAAAATTAGAGGCTGGACTTAGGTGCCAACTTCAAAATGACAAGTGTGTTGCTCTACCAGGTTGATAGTAACTATAGTCAAACCCAGTCTTGGTTTTTTTAAGATCATCTCAGCTTTAGATTTGTTAGCTTTATTGCCATTTTGTATGTTTTGTTCCAACTGCCCCCCCAGGGTCCCCATTTGCCCGGGCCAGTGTGAAGAGCAAGAACGAGAGCTCGTCTTACTTCAGGAGGAAAGAGAAGAGGATTCGCTTCACCATCCGCCGTCTGGTCAAGTCCCAAAGCTTCTATTGGACTGTGCTGTGTCTGGTTGGCCTCAACACACTGTGTGTAGCCATAGTACACTATGACCAGCCTGAGTGGCTCACCTATGCACTATGTAAGTTCCTGTAGTTGTATACTGTATACAGTAATTATCATGTAAACCAGTATGTGTCATTGTTGATCTTAACAGTACTATTATATTGGACCATTTATACACACAATAAAAATTCTCCAAAATGTCTTCAGTGTCTCCCACTGGCTTCAGCCACTGACATGATTTTTATTGCATAGGAATTTTTAAAGCAAAGCTATGTAACATATGAAAGTAGGGATGTCCCAGTCAAGTTTCTTTGGCCTTTAATATTGGGTATCTGTTAATACAGAGTTTCTCCCAAAGTTTGCTACTTCAGTGTTACCTTTGCATATGCACGCACGCACACACACACACACACACACACACACACACACACATACACACACACACACGCATGCACACAAACACACACACACACTTTGTATAGCTATCTTTGTAAGGACATTCGTTGACATAATGCATTCCCTAGCCCCTAACTCTAACCTTAGCCATCACAGCTAAATGCCTAACCACAACCTTTCCCCTAAGCCTGACCTAAACCTAATTCTAACCTTAACCCAAAAGTCAAGTCTTGACCCTCAACCAGTCCTTTGAAGGGGTCTGAGAAACTGAATACCAGCCAAAATGTCTTAACTCCCATGGTTTAAAATTTTAAATGGTCCTCAAACTGCAGGCCATACAAGTACACACAGACACACACACGGTGCTCTAGATACTGAGTGAAAAGGGGAGCTGGTCAGTCTTGGTCTCCTAGTCTACAAAGGCTCAACTAATTTTCATATGCATAGTTAATTATACTATTATATATTTAAAAATAGTATCTATTTTCAGCTTTTTCACAATAATTCACTAGCATTTGCATAATGACTTAAGACTGGGTAAACATACACTTACTGTATACTGCTTACTTGTACTGGGATTTCAGTGAGACAACTGTGGGCAATGTGGCAAAGACAGCACATTTCAGCAAGCTTCTGCTTGTTCATCGGGTTGAGAGACTGAGAAAAAAGTCAGGGTTTATACTGTACCACTATAGTTTTACATAGTCTGATACTAGTAGCTTAAGGGGGCTAATATTAGCAAGTTTCACATTAGGATTGCTGCATAACTGACTTATCTATACTGGTGCTACTGTTATCTAATGTGTTTGCATATATTATTATCCTGAAATTGTCATTTGATAACAACTCTTCAGCACAGTCATATTTGAAAGTTGCCAACTGAGCTACCTGTAGTATTATTAAATGTCAATTCTGGTCAGCCAGAAAAAAAGCAACACTGGTATCCTGCCTTAACAGGAAAAACTGCAGAAACACATGAGCAAACAAACATCACGCAAGTACCATTGTACATTTTACATACACACACACGTGAGCAAAGACACATCTTCATGGGAGATTACAGGAGTTATTTGCTAATACAACAGGCGTTTTCTGTGTCTAATTTACAGCAGCCACTGTTGAACAGACATCAGTAATCATCAACCCTTTTTAACCTGGCCTGTTGATCTGTGTGTTTTCTCTCTCTCCCTGGACAGACCTGGCTGAGTTTGTATTCCTGGGCCTGTTTCTGGCAGAGATGTCTATGAAAATGTATGGCCTAGGACCACAGAATTACTTCCACTCCTCATTCAACTGTTTCGACTTTGGGGTGAGTCGTCCTACTCAGCTGGCAGTTTGTTCAATCTGCAGCGGGTTTTAGAGTGTGAGCATGTGTAGTGCTGTACATGTAATTCAGGGCTGGTGCTTCAGAAGGAAAAAGATAATATACATAGAAAAGAAGACTGTGGAGGCCTGCTGCATTTACTGGGCTGTGTTTGCAGGTGATTATTGGCAGTATTTTTGAGGTGATCTGGGCTGCTATTAAACCTGGGGCCTCATTTGGGATCAGTGTGCTACGAGCTCTGAGACTGCTCAGGATCTTCAAAGTCACTAAGTGAGTCATCAGAAATGTCTGTGTACTGGGAACACTGGGAACATGCCATATATATTAAAGTGCCTGTGTGTGTAGGTACTGGAACTCTTTGAGGAACCTGGTGGTATCTCTGCTCAACTCCATGAAGTCTATCATCAGCCTGCTGTTCCTCCTCTTCCTCTTCATCGTGGTCTTTGCTTTGCTGGGCATGCAGCTCTTTGGTGGCCAGTGAGTCATTTGTTGCAAATTCTGCAGCTCATAATGAAGAAATAAAACAAGGATATCTTAAGAGAGTTTTATTATCATGTTACTTTTTTATTCTGTTTACATAATACTGTTATTATTTGGTTTTTATTATATTTTATGTAAATAATATTAAGATTTAGAGGGTTAATAAGGAAAACCTAAGAAAAAAATACTTATCATGTATTCTAGAAACATGAATGTTGTAACATGATTCAGCCCTCATTCACTGTGTATTCATAAGTTAACAACTGTTAAAATAGACAGTGGGGGGAGATGTACTGTAATTAGATCCCAGTAGACAGACAGGCAGACATGCAAAATGTCAGCATTAGCGTAGCTTTTCCATTTGAGAAGAAGAAATGCTCAGAGATCTGCCATGAGGTCATGCAGACTCAACACTCAGACTCATATGCTGTGCTGGAAATTTTTGCAGTAGCCTAATGGAGAAGACCGTAAACTGCTCCATCCTCCAGTAGGTGATGGAGCGAATGTGACTGTGTTGTGGCTTTGGATCCTGATCATATTCAGACACTGTTTGTTTTCTCCTGGAAGGTTTAATTTTGAAGATGAAACACCGACAACCAATTTTGACACATTCCCAGCAGCGATTCTCACTGTTTTCCAGGTAAAGGTTAATGTAATCATGCTTCTCGTGCTGCTCTGCTCATACTGCTGAACTGGACTCAGAAAGCAGCCTGTCTCTCCCCTGCAGATCCTAACTGGGGAGGACTGGAATGCAGTCATGTACCATGGGATTGAATCACAGGGGGGTGTTCACAGGGGAATGTTCTCCTCCATTTATTTCATTGTTCTCACTCTCTTTGGAAACTGTATCCTGCCCGATTGATCCAAATTGATTCACCTGTATAACTGTCAGTTATCACTGTCTAAGAATTTGTCACTGATTTGAAAAACAGCTGTAACTGTTGATATTTATTCTCTCTTTATCAATCATTTCAACTTTTCCTGAGACCACATATAACCAGACACACTCCTCAACGTGTTCTTGGCCATTGCAGTCGACAACCTTGCAAATGCCCAGGAGCTGACTAAGGTACAGTATTGCTTTATAGCTTGAGATATCTTGGCTTTATAGGGGTTTACAGGAGGAGATCAATAAACCAGGAGCCATGAATAAAAGTCCTTTAACTTCAATCAAATCCCAAATGCATACTGTATGGCCTTTAATGTTATGAGACAGTGAATATTGGTAGGATATCAGGGTACTGTGGTTTACTGTTTTCATAAGACTGCCCACTTCAGAAGGGGGGGGCTGTTTTAGTATGACTGTTGGAATGTCAGGTCAGTAAATCCACATAATGAACTGGCAGCTTTTAATACCTCACCACTGAAGACAAACCTGTTATCCATTATGTGAGTGACATCTTTAAGAAGTACCAGTTGTACGCACCCTCTAGGTGTACACATCATTTCCAATTGCCAATCCTAGTGTGTAAGTGCTAATTAGATCTTATTCATAACTAAGGAAGATAATCAATACCCTAATGTATTGATCCCTCAAATAGTGTTGACTAATAGCCCAGTACAAATAAAGGTCAGTTGGTAATAAAGGCTGGGTAAAACTCAGAGGGGCTCTTCTATAATACAGTAGTTTACAATAATTCAGTATCATCTACACTTCCACAGCACTACCTACTGCCTACCTACTCTTTACTACACTACTACAGGCTCACCAGCCTGCTGCTCTCACCTTCTCTTCTGTTTTAATACAGCAATTAATTCCACTTGCATTCATGTTGCCTTCTTTTTATCAATCGCTGCTCAGCTGCTGAGTTTTCACATGAAAGGCTTACCAGGAAAAGGCAGGATCAGACCCAGTAAACTTAATATGAAACATGATGTGCAGTGTTGAATTTCACTGTCAGTATAAACATGGGAAGTGGCTAAGAAAATAGTGAATGAAAAAGAATTTGGAAATATGCAATATACTGAATTCAATAAGTCAACATTTTGAATTCATCACAGTTTGTTTCAAATATAGTTGTGGCTATCGTTTAGATAAATGCAAGATTTTGCAATTTTCTGGAGGACATACAGTATGGGACTGTGACTGACTGGCCAGTGACCAAAAATAGCCCCTTTTTCACATTTCTTAGTCAGCATGCTTCAGGGACCACACATCAGCTAAACGTTCCTGAATGCTCAGATCTAGTAGATCTTCTGGTTGAAAATAACCAACTGTGCTGCACAGATAAGGGTCATTGTAATGTTACATTAAGGCCCCAACCTTTAAAAACACTGGCTTTATCTACTGTATGTATGTATTTTCTTGCACATACTGTCCAGGATGAAGAGGAGCAAGAGGAGGCCATCAATAAGAAACTCGCCCTCCAGAAGGCCAAGGAGGTAAAGGAGGTCAGCCCCATGTCAGCCGCTAACATTTCCATAACAGCGTAAGTCAGCCTCTTCTTTATACTCTTCTTTGCTCCAACTTTCTGAAGTCTCTGTTCTTTTACTTTATCAGTCAACATACACAGACAGGAAAGACACACAGGAATTCTAGGTACCTTTGTTCTATAGCTAACTCATCAGACTTGCTAAAGACCAGTTCACTAAAAAGTCAGCACACATTTCTCTGGAGGGCCCACATTGAGAGAATTTTAATGTTATTTCCACCCATCCTCTTTCATTGTTTAATGCCCAGATTAGCTTGATGACTGAAACATTCAATATTTGAATATAATAATACACACAGGGCTCCAGTATTATTGTGTTTTGGTACTGATCTCAACATTTAGTCAAATAGTACAGTTTGACAGTTTTTTGTCCAAACCAGCTTTACAAATTCAATTTGTCTTTCACATCACTAATTACTAATTTTGCTTGTTTGTAGATTTCAGTCTAACCGCCTTCTTTCAAACGTATGTGGAGTGTTTCCTTTGCTCATTTTAATACAAACGTGAATAAAGTGAAAACAGATTTACAGAATCTTGCTGTCCCCGTGTACCTGACGGCCCATTTGTGTGACATTTTCTTTCTGGTTCAGTCTCTGTCTTGTGTTTCTCAGCTTTGACTGCCCATTACATTGAAATGTGATGCGATGCTAAGGGACAGAAGAGACAGAGAAATGTCACATGGTGTCTGGCTGTTTCTCTGACTTCATCCTATATGATGTTCCCCCTCCCCAATTTTTGTTTTGTGCATGTGCAGTTTTCTAACACGCAGTCGAGGTAACGTGCACTCTAGCAGCTCATCCATCTGCAGCGTTAACTCACTGTGAGTTATTACAGTTATTCTCCATTCATTCTTAAATCCTCCCATTGCCCTTATTTCATCCCACTCCTGCTGCTAAACCCTGTGTTATTCTGGTGTCATCATTATGTCATTCTTCTGTGTGAATTGTCGAAAGGAACATGGTATCTCTTCTGCGTGTGTAGAGCTGCGTGGGTTTTTATATTTCCATTCCTGTGTTCTTTTCTTTGTATTGACCTTGGAAAGACAAGTATCCCAAGTGTCTGTCAATGCTCATAATGCTCTATCTGACTGCTTGTGATCAATATCCACATGTCTGAGAATCACTGTTTTGAGTGTCTGCACCTCTCATTTAGAAAAATTCAAGATATCATTTTTCATAATGTTTGTGTCCATTGTGTTCATTTGCAGCAGTGATTCATTTCTCATATTGGTTATAAATATGTATTGTATGTTAATATTGCCATGTTAACTCAGGAGACAGATAGACAGATGCCGAGTGACCTAGATATAGACAGAGTAGTTGCTGAGTTTCTTATTTATTTTCAGAATGGTTTGTAGTGAGATAAAACGTGGGTTTTTGAAGCTTGGTAAAGCAGGAAAAATTCTACATTTTGTCATACTATCAACAATGCCCCAAAACACAATGTTGCACTGGAAGATAACATGTTTTTTGTTCACCAGAAGGCACGCACACACACACACACACACGCACACTTGTGCTTTTATCTTTGTGAGGACACTCATTATCATAATGCATTCACTAGCCCCTTACCTTAACGATCAGAACTACATGCCTAACCCTGACCCTAACACTAAACCTAATTCCAACCTGACCCCTAAAACCAAGTGTTTACCCCCATAAAGGTGCTTAACAAAGTGAGAACCAGCAAAAATGCCCTTACTTTCCAAAAGTGAAAGGGCGGCTTTGGCTGAGGACGTAGAGCATTGTCTCCAGTCGGAAGGTTGGTAGTTGAATTCCCGGTCTCCCAAGTCCACAACTCGAAGAGTTATTGGGCAAGATACTGAGCCCCTAGTTAGCCCTGGTGGCCAAGCAATGACTGATAGTGCCACAGTCAGTAAGAAATTTCCCTGTGGGGATTAATAAAATATGATACATTTAAAATGTCCTCTGTAGCAAAAAATACTTTTTTGGTCCTCACTATATAGCAAGTACTAGAACGCACACACAACACAGTCCACAATCTTGTTTCCTACAGATTGTGCTTTTTTGCTTTGTAGGAACCATAATCACTTGTGTTCACAGCCAACATTTTCATTGAATGACTGAAGCACTGCTTTTATTAACAGCAGGGCTGTTGCCAGGAGATGGCTGGGGTGGTTGGCAGGCATACAATGGACACAACTGTCACGCTAGAGTCCCATTGGCGATTAGCTTTAAGCAACAAAAACGCTTTGTCTAAGGTTAGGAAAAGCGCATAGTTTAGTTGAAGATAAACAAACATGTAAAATTATTGTTAACATTTTTTTTACTAAACCACAATCTTTCCTAAACCATAACCAAGTGCTGTGAGCGCATAAGCATTAACCATCTAACAGTTGGTAACAGTTTAAGATACGATACATAAAAATGTGCATAGTTACTAGGGAACGAGTGACTAGCACATGAGGAAGGATCTGTGACGTTCAAAATGACTAATTAATGCTATGTAATGTGAATCATGAAGTAATGAAGTACTACTGAGTAATCTAACTAGTGTTAGGTGTCACCTCACTTGAGGGGACATATAAATGGTATGTAATGATGAGGCAATCATCAAGTAATAAAATACTACTGAGTACTCATTGCGATGCATCATTTTACTTGAGGGAACACATAAATGGTGTGTAATAATGAAGTAATTATGAAGTAATGGGGGACTACTGAGTAACTACTTAACAGAACGGATCACTGCCTGAGAAGGATACAAGTTGTACAGGTACTGGAGAGATGAGGGGGCCGCATAACAACAGATGAGGTAGTGGGGCTACTTCATAGGCTAACTAATCAATATGATGTATGAGTATTTAAGGTTTCACAAAAATAACATGTTCAAGTAATGCGTAATGAATGAGTGGTTACTATTTTACACCCTACAATGTTTGAATGGCAGGTAATTAAGAACAAGTCGCAAAGAAAATGGGGAGTAAGATCGACTTAAGCATAATTCTGAAGTAATCATTACCTAATGATTCACTGACGTGGCATCTCCCAGTCGGTTTTCTAGTAGAGTCCTACATTAGAAGTTATTAGGGTAGTACTTAGGAACGACACAGATCATTCTTCATGTGTTCTTCACTTGTACACAGTTTTCTGTACCGTACAGTAAAGTGTTACCTAAATGTTCAATAAGGCTGTAGCCACTCCAGGTGGATGTTGTGCTGCAAAATCAGATATTCTGGTGAAAACAAATACATTTATATTTGTGACTTGCCAAATGCCAAATATGCAGACTAACCACATATCTTTATTACAGTCATTTAAAGGAAAACAGAATCTGGTCAGAGTTTACATTTCCAAAAAATGTATTTGCCATTGCAGTTTGTTTGTATATGAATGTAGTTTTTATAAGCCATAGTTGCAGTCCCACATACATTGTCCTGCTGCCCCAAGTACTTGGAGCACCAGATGTGTACAGATCTGACGCTGAATATAGTCCCCAACAAATGCACTGTTTTCCTGTTTGAGTAATGTTTGTTAACAGCTACAGGGACCAGATGTTTTAGGAAATTATTGAGCCTTTTTAATGAAACTTGTGAGGTGTTTTTAAGGATTTACATCTTCAACTGGAACAAATGGAATTGAGAGTCACAAATCGAGTTAGGAAGTCAGAAAGCATTGTGAAATAGATTAAGACATTGCGAGTTTTAGTCTTTTATTGTGATTTTTTTGACAGTAAGAAAAATGTCAACAAGCCTTAATTTCTTTAAACTAAAATTCATACAGATGAAATTATAGGCCAAACAAGTCCTCAAGAGAGGATTCAATGTACTGAAAGTAGCATTTAAAGCCAAGTAAAACCACTAATTCTGTCTTTTAGCTGTAGACCTACAGAATTTTCCAAACAACAATGTGCCCTAGAGCTGCTTTTTAATTGGGGAGTGATGATGTGTGAGCTCAGCTGGGACTAAGATAATAAACCCCTTCTTGCTGCTGGCAGCAAAGCTTGAATATCACAGAAACTGTAGCAGCCTAAAGAAGAATGTGAATTGCTGGTGCTGCAACAATTTTTGGAAATGGTGCAGTAAAATGTAAGGAATGTAGTTTTGTGATTGTTGTATTTGAGTAAACAATGCATTTTTACATGACCACTGTATGTGCATTTGATGACCAAATGAAATGTTACTTGAAAGGCTTCTACAAGATCTCCATGGTTATTAAGTTAGTAAGACTTAATTTAACGTTTTTGTTGCATGTAAAACTGTTACAAGTAAAAACACTCAATAAAGAAACCAAGCTAGAATTCAACATTTTTTTTTACTGTCAACAAATCACAATAAAAGACTAAAACTCGCAATGTCTTAATCTATTTCACAATGCTTTCTGACTTCCTAACTCGATTTGTGACTCTCAATTCCATTTGTTCCAGTTGAAGATGTAAATCCTTAAAAACACCTCACAAGTTTCACAAGTTTCTTTGCTCAAACAACTGAGATGGACAGATTGGATAGATTTTCCAATGCACACTTCACTGAAACAAAGGCGAAAAATAGAATTAGTAGTGCCAATTTGCTGTAACTCCAGTGCTTGACTCTGACTGGATTCTCTGAGATGTAAATTTCAATATCAGATAGGCCTACATACACACACCAATTACAAAGTCACAGATATCTCCTGTAACTGGATTATGAGTCAAGCTCTGTTTCTCCAGTTACTTGTATAACCCTGGTTCTCGCAGGAATATAGGTGATATGTCACAATATGAGATTGCCTCACCCACCCCACTGCCATAGTGAGATATCAAAAGAAATGATATGACATGCAGCCTTAGGTTACCTGCATTACACCTGTTCTCTGAGTAGCAGAAGTGAGATAGCTCAATATTCAAGGAAGCATTTGTGAAACACTGAAACAAAAGGTGAATTCCAATTCCGTTATTGGTCCTTGGTCCTTGATTCCCACTTGACCTGGAAGTTGTTCCAGTCCGCCATGATGAAGGACGCCCCAAAGCTCTTATTTCTGCTCTGAGGGGCGAGGAATGAGGAGGCTGCCTGAAGGTGCTATAACCAAGGCTACCAATTGGCATGCCCACTTATTGGAAATCAGTTTGTGATTGGATGAAGGATTGGAGGAAAGGACGTGACATGTCAATTAAAGCATGCTTCCTCATTTATCTCTCCTTGCAGTTTGTCCTTTTTCTTTCATCTTACACTGGCAGTAATAAGCCGCAAGGAAAAGATGCAAGTGAGGGAAACAGGGAATGCATTTAGTTAATTGGGATTCACCTATAGACTATGAATGAGAACTACAGTACTAACAAGTCAAACATTCCATAGCTATTTAACACTGTAGTAGCACAAGTGTATATTCAGTGTTAAATATTTTTATTTCCTGTTCCCATTGTCTTCTTGGAGTTTTGTATGATTTTGCATCTTCCCTGTACATTTCTCCTCCTGTCAATTTTTGAAGTTTATTTGTCCCCACTGTACTTCTGTCTGTAACTTGTTTCTTCTCTTGCTCTGTTTGTTTCAACGTTGCTCCCTTTATGTGTTTGTAGGAGTTATGGCTACACTCCAGTCCATCACTTCCTGAGGTAAACTCAACCACCTGCTAGCAAGGTGGTTGATGATTATGATTCCATGCATTACAAACATACTGTACATCCTTGAAAGCAAGACCACATAAATAAAACAGAGTCTCCCTGCTTTCTTGTCATGCACACTATGTTTTGGGCATTTCTCTCCCATGTTGCTCATCCACCTCATAGCAGGAGCTCTTAAAGAGTACAGTGTGCTTGCTCTTAGCGTTTTACATGCTGTACTGTATATTGAAGGTGAGTATGGACAGTGCAACCCCAGGATGATGAAGAATTGGGAACATGAAATAATGTTTTTTTAATTTATAATGCCACATTAAGAAATGGCATTTTACCACCATAAAGTCAACACCATAAAATCAAGGGCAGCGATAGCACTGTTTATACTGTAGTTCACATAGTATAAAAAGTGCATGCATTTGGTCATTTTGAAGTACTGTACACAGACATTGACAGAAAAAAGAATGTCAAAGCATGGTAACATGGCCATGCTTGGCCTTTGTTCAGGCATATCCATGGAAGATGGCTCTACACAGTAGACTGTGATAAATGGACCCAGTGATTTGCTGTTGAAAACTCCATTACACCTTGGTCATAATGTAACTCATGCAGCATGTAGGGACTATGTGTGCTATCATGAGATGTAAAATGAAATATACTGCTGATTTTATATGCCAAGAGGTCATAAAGTATAGTGTACATACAGTACATACTGAATGTGTCACACCTCAAAGGAAACCATGCCTGTCGGTATGTTCATTGGAAATGCTCATATCCTTACTGTAGAATACAAACAGTTGACAAAACCTTGGCAATAACATCAAAGTAAAGAGTTTAGAAAAATATTTTGCTATTGTAATATCAGTGGTTGGTTATGATTTCTCTGGTTCTTCTGCCCCTCCCCTAGTAAGGAGCAGCAGAAGTCAGTGAAGACCATGTCAGTGTGGGAGCAGAGGGCCAATCAGCTGAGGAGGCAGAATCGGGCAAGTTGCGAGGCTTTGTATAGTGAGTTGGAGCCTGAGGAGCGTCTCCGCCTGTCCTCAGCGCTTCACATCCGGCCAGACATGAAGACCCACCATGACCGGCCACTACTTGTTGAGCCCTGTGATGGGCCTTTCCTTGGTGGCCACCAGCACCACCGTCACAAGCCCTGCATGTCAGAGGAGGCTGTGGCTGCTGCTGACCCTCCTTCTGTGCCTCACCAGCCCTGCCACCACCACCACCACAGAGACAGGGACCGGGCCAGAATGAAAGAGGAGACAAATGATAATGGTGATACCACTAAAGAAGGTAGGCACCACATCCATCACAGCCGCTCCAAAGACCATGACAGTAGCCGGGGCAAAGAGGGGAAAAGTGAGAGGTCCCATAGCCGAGAGGGAGGCAGGAAGCATCATCATCAGAGCTCAGTTGATGACAGCGGAGGTGGAGGAGTCACAAGCGAGAGAGAGCATCATCATCATCATTCCCACCGGCAGTCCCGAGGGGGCAACGGGACAGTGAATAGTGGAGGGAGGGGAGAGCGAAGGTCCCGGCACAAAGATGGACATTCTTCGAACAAGGATGGGGATAGGAATTCCAGAGGAGACAATGGTGCCAATACAGAGAGGAGGAGACATCGGACTCATGGATCCAGGGGCCAATCCACAGTTGAAGGAGATGAGTCCAACGAGAGGGAGAAGACCCATAGACACAGGTAAAAATCTGAATTTCTGCATGGTCAAAACTCTTTTTTCTGAACTATGACTTTGCAGGACAAGTTCATTTGTACTAATAGTAGTTACAAATTCAAATTTAGGTAGCTTTTCATATCTTTTCTATGATGCCTTGTGGTCTGAAAGGCCAGTCACACATATTTTAGGTCTGTCCTCAAGTGTATTGGATTTGACTTGGCCTGATGTATGTCAGAGGGGCTGAGGACTATTGGTTAATAACATAAGCTATGAAAAAGAAAGCTTTAGCTTCAGCCAATAATACAGGGTCATCAGGTGGTTTGAGTCTGACCCACGACACAGAGATGGCTCAGTAGTGTGTCCCAGATCTATCTCTTATTTACTGGTATCCACACACTCAGCACCATCCATCCACAATAGATTAATTCACTTCATTATCACCAGCAACCAGAGTACTAACTGACAACAACCAGCCACCTCGATGTCGAGCCACACCGCATCCAAGGTTTGCATCATGATTTACAATAAAACTAATAAAATTCATTCAGTCATTTTACAGTGACCCCCCAATATTAATGCTGTTTATATTAGTCTTTAAATGTTTACATGGCTCCATCAGTTCACAAAAAATGTCACAGACAGTGGTGCCAACTAGCACAATCTACAAGCATGAGATATTTTTTGAGAATATACTATATATTAATATCTCAGATGCTATCTCTGTTATAGGGACAGGTTTGGTGACTCAGAGGGCGAGTCCCTAGCCATGTCTCCCCAGCAGGGGCCTGGGGGGACTAACCGGCCTCCTGACCGACCAGAGGACTCAGACAACCAGAGGAACGTCAGACGAACTGGCCAAACCTCCGTCCAAATTCCTCCTGTGACTATTACCTCCCCACCTGGGGAGACCACCCTCATACAAAGTCAGTACCAATGTGCACACATAATATGGCTCTTCTATGGCTACTTCCATCCCAGCCATTATATTGAAGGTCTCTGGACATAGTCACAGTTAAATGATTGAGTACTTAAAAAGTATTGAATTAAAGTGTTGAATACAGAAGAGAGCCATTTAATTTGAACAGAGCAAGGTGATCTGTTTCTTAAACAGATGAGTGTCTGCTGTTTGCACATGCAGTTTGTTTTTGTGTAGATGCCCCATGGGTGTCAGATTACATCACATCATGTAATCTGACATTATTAGAACCCCAGTCACCCCAGGAAGCAAAATAAAATAGGTGTTAGAAGGCATATATAGATATTCATCAGGTCTTTGCCTTTAGACAGGGGATGAATATTACCATGGGAAAATATTTTAATGAACTATTTACAAATCAGAAATGTGTAACACATGACATGTACATTAAAACAAAACACACCTACACTAAAAACATTTCACCGTCTTCCACTATCGGGTTTCTGACTGGACAGCCTAACCTCTGTTAAATGATAACAATAAATAATCTTTCACTGTACAGACTGCACCTAGACGAGGTGGAAGAAGATATTTGTTTTCTGATAATGTTTTCAGGACAGCAAATTAAATGGGATGATTAAGGGGATTGTTATTCAATTGACTCTGCCATGTCTGAGATTATTGCTGTCTGTCTTCACAGTGAACAGTATTGACTGTGAGACAATGCCCATGACTGAGAAGACTCTGGAGGATCTAGGTCAAAGTGGACCCAAACCCATCCTGCCTTACAGTTCCATGTTCATCTTTGGACAAACCAATCCGTGAGTCACCTCTGCTGTACATTGCCCAATTTTTTGCTTCATTGTGGGACCTCCACCTTAGTTAGTTAAGCCCTTTTCACACATGCACTGGAACCCTGAAATTATCTAGACATTACCCAGAGGAGCTGTATGTGAGAACACAGTCAGTCAGTTGACTTGACTTTTAAGCGGACATTACTCTGCCAGCTCCCTAACACAAAGTCTGTGTGAAATCTGAGCAAACCCATTTAAGAAAACAGCTGTGTATAGTCTGGAGCAGGGGTGGCCAATTCCAGTCCTCGAGGGCCGCTGTCCTGCTTGTTTTCCAACTATCCCTGCCTGATCTGCTGCTGATTACCGGGCTCAGGTAATCAGGTAAACTGGAAGATACCATCTTAGATGAAAGTGGAGTGAGGAAAGATAAAGTGAACTGGTATCTTCCAGCTTCTGACTGACTGAACACACCTGAGCCAGGTAATCAGCAGCAGATCAGGCAGGGATAGTTGGAAAACAAGCAGGACAGTGGCCCTCGAGGACTAGAATTGGCCACCTCTGTCTGGAGTATTCACAACGAGCTAGTGGGCATGTTGATGACGCTCTATCATATGACTGCCGTGAAACTGGAAGATTACAAACAATGGTGAAGAAGAACGCTGATTTACAATTGTGTATATAGTCTAGATGCATTTAACAGATCTATATGTACAAGGTATATTTACAGGTCTTGCATTAAGGGTTCTTGTCCATGCTGGACTGAGGCAACAGTGTTAACCACCATGTCACTGTGCCACCCCAGAAATCATCAGCTTTACTAAAACATTTCTGAACCTGTTTAGACATTTCACACAACCTATGGCTACCATAATTTCACATTCTCAAATCCCCAAAATATGTTATTATTATTATAGAGGAAAGGAAAAAGACAAATCACAAGCACTTTTTTGTAACAGTTGCAAGCTCTGGGGAAGAGCCCACACTCCAGGTGTGCCTGTTCTCTTGGGAAGGAAGAGATAAGCAGAGACCAGCTGTCTGGCGAGTGTGGCACCTTCATACTTTACTGTCTTGGAAGTCAGATGTGGAGTTGAAATTGTGTATTCTAATGCAGTAAAAGTCACAAGGAGTTGTTTGTCCCTTGTAGTCATGGAAACGAGGCAAGGCCTTTTGATTTTTTTTTATTTGCAAAGGATGGTGTGATAAGGCCTTACAGCTACAACTGTCTGGGAAACACAAAGCAGAGTCTGGTCTATGCACTGGGGGGTCGGTGAGGAGACATTCTGCTCCTCAGTGCCTGGAAATCAAAGTTAGTTATTAATTCTGAATATTCTGAGTTCCTCAGAATAAAACATCTCTTCAAAATGTCTCTTCAAGATATTCCATGGATTTGAGGGCACTACAGATGCATGGCTGGAGCAAGTTCGGGTGAAAACCAGGGCTTTGATCTAATTTTTGTTCTGTTGCTGTGTCTTCCCTCTGTGATATCAACTCATTTATTTCCTATCTATAAACTAGCACATCATCATGTCCCAACCTGAGATCTCCAAATTCTATATCGCAGTGGGTGCTAGTGTATTGAACTACTACTTCCAGTCCACCTCCCCTCTGTGGTTGCTCTCCTACTGACATTCACCATTATCACAAACATTAAGGATAAATTAATCCAGAATAAAGTAAAGATATACACCCAGGTTCTTGGAAACTACAATAGTAAACTACATTTCCTATGTGTACTTGTACAAAAAAGCAAAAATGTGCTGTATTTAGTGTTTAGCTTTTAGATTTGGCTTTTTAAAATCATTTTTGTCTGGTGAAGATCTAGTTAATAGGAGCCTGCTTTTATGGAATACTTGCTTTACAGAGACAGCATAATCCATGCTATATCTCTGTTTTTCTCTCCCCCCGCACCCATATGTCCCTTCCTCTCTCTCCTCAGGGTGAGGCGGCTATGTCACTACATCGTGACTCTGCGTTACTTTGAGATGTGCATCCTAGTTGTCATTGCTATGAGCAGTATTGCTTTGGCAGCAGAGGACCCTGTCTGGGCAAATGCCCCTCGCAACAACGTGAGACACAGTGCACATATAAATACATGACTACACAGAATATTTCAATAACGGAGATAAGAAGTATTTCTCTTTTAAATTATTTTCTATCTAGCATGGAGTTTTGATGCTAGTTAAACTAACTCGTTAAGTAATGAGAACACTAGTATCTTTGCCTGGTAGATCATTGATTCTGTGCTATATGCTAGCACATGTTGTGCACACAGCTACCAACCGAAATGATACACTGGATTATACGTATAGTATATACTGCACATATGTAGTACTAAATCAGTTTCTTTTTTTTCAGGTGCTGAAATATCTGGACTATGCTTTCACTGGTGTTTTCACTTTTGAAATGGTGATCAAGGTAAACATTTTAATTTTTAGGTCAACAGAACAAACCTTTGCAAACACCTTCCTCCACTTTCCCAATAGCAGGAGGCATGTCTCCTCCAAGTCTTCTACAGTACAGCTGAACATCATTCTTCCATGTAGACAGATATGAAAGGGAATTAGAAACGGAAATAGTACCGTACTATATCACAAAACTAGATGGTGAGGGTTCCGACATGTTTCTTAGGAAGGCCATATTTATTTACTAATTTGTTGGAATGGTATCAAAGTACATATCTTGGTTGCAGGTCTTTTATTTTACTTTGTCCTTTTTTATCCAGTGTTTGAATCCCATATGGCATTTCATTTTAAAAAGTACAGTCCTCATGCCAGACTAATACTGTATACTGCCTTTTAGATTATAATAAGGCGTAATATATAATAATAATAATAATAATAATGAGAATCCTATTTAAAAATATGCTTTGAGTTCCATATCTTTGAAGCATCTCCTATTTCTTTCACCGGGGACATAGTATATTAATATAATGTTTTAAATGTCAGGTATTATACTGATTCTTAAAGAAGTAGGTACTTTTGAGGCATTAGCAGACTGTTTAAAGATTGAGGTGTTTCATGTCTGTGCAGATTCTCAGTCATCCAGGTCATAGTAAACTGAAAAAACCTTAGAAAAAATCTGATGAGAACTGATGAAGCCTCTTGGAGGAGAGGTGAAACGTCTTCGATCTAGAAATCTAAGTCCGGTTGACTGAGGTGTTTCTCCCTCTTATTTATCTAAGAATAATAAGACATTTTAACTGAGATTAATTTTAGATTAATTTCAGGTTATTAGGTTTATCACAAACAAACCCATATCTATGAAAAGAAACAGTGTTCTGTCTTACTTATTATTACAGCTACAGTATGATTTTAGGTGACTGATGAATTGCCATGGCCAGGGGTTCAGGAGCAAATAACAATAATAAAGTCAACAAAAGACAGCCCTAGTGTGTGGATCTAGAAAGGTTAATGGGCATTGAAACTTGGTTGTTTGATCCAGTTTCTCTTACTTGTTCAGTATATATGATAAGATAAAATAATCTGGTTCCCCTAGTTCAGATCTTTTAAAGAATCAAAAGGTATTGCCATTCAGGCTTGTCAAAAGCTTTTTCAGTATCTAATGACAGGACTGCATGGCGCTGATTCTCTGGCATATTTTTACCTCCACCAAGGAGGTTATGGTTTTGGTTCTTGGTGTGTGTGTGTGTGTGTGGGTGGGTGGGTGTGCTCGCACATTCTTGTTAACAAAAACGTGTCTCCCAGTGCGACAGTGTGTTTCATGGGATTTTGGTCAGCAGGATTACGGACAAACGGCTGCATGGATCATCACCATACTTGGTACAGACACTGGTGGGGATCAACCCTAGAAGTGATTAGATTTTGGCTGAAAAAGGTCAAGATCACAAAAAATAATAATAACATAGTGCAAATAAAAAAAATCATATCTCTGCCAGAAGTTTTCAAAATCATATTTTGTTTGAAATTTAACACACATACCTAAAGTAGCAATGTCTGTCACCAGACCAAATTTCAAAATTAACATTGAAAACCCCATCTAACGCATATTTTCTGCCATAACTCGGCCTATAGTGAAGACCAAACCCTGAAATGTTCAGATGATCCAGATCTGAACTAGATCAAAGACTCTAGGACACATTTTGTGTTGTTCTGGAGCTCATTTTTCACAGGAAACCCATATGTGCCTTAGGGAGGTACGTGGGCTCTCTGAGCACTCTTGTTTAGCAAACAATATGTCCAACAGCCTATGTGTGTTAAATAAAATTTTTCATTAGGTTTTGTCAACAAATAATTCACATAAGAGTGTACAACACCCACAAAGAAACAAAATAAAAACAAAACCTAACAAATATACAAACAAAATTCTCCAGTCCCAAATACTTATGCATATCTAGTGATCAATCAAATACCTTATTGTACCGTACCTCACTGAATTTCTAAGATTACAGGGGACTCTACACAAAGGAGCACTAACCCTTTTATAGTCCTTAGATCTGTTGATAGATAATCTAAAAGGGTGACCAGACTTTCAGAAACACCCCATTGTCCTCCTTCAAAGCAGACCATATTCTTGGTCTTCTTCATGGAGTAAGGTACTCTTGATCTGTCTGTACCATAAAGTGATATTAAGTGGGACAGTCTTGGTCCATCTGAGCACTGAGAACTTTGTATACATTTCTGTGAGTAGGCCATCAGGTCTGAGTGTCCTTCCAGTATTCATAGCCATAATGCAACTTCTCATTATCTATATATCATTTTTTTCTAGATTAAAGTTGGGAATTGAAATTGGTCCAAATCCAGGTGGTCAGTTTTAAAAGACCTTCATAATATTTTCTAAGGGCAGTCATTAGCTAATAGTCAGTCATTAGCTAATAGTCAATAATCATCAACCATAAAAAGTTACTGTATATGATAATCATTTGTAATATTTAACAGACTTGTCTTTTGGAGGCTTCATAGCATATGTCAGTGTTAGAATTAAGGCAGTTTGAAATAAATACAAAAAAACCCCAGCACAAAATAAATTGAAATAAAACAAATCATTAAAAAAACTAATATAACTGTCGTATTTGGTTTAGATGGTGGACCTGGGCCTGCTGCTTCATCCTGGATCCTACTTCAGAGACCTGTGGAACATTCTGGACTTCATAGTTGTCAGTGGGGCGCTGGTGGCTTTTGCGTTTTCGTAAGTTCAACAACTCTTACCTTTCTGTTCTTAAAAAAGATGTCTCCAATTTGTAAGCTGCTGCACCTGAACATCAGATGTGGAAGATACATCAGATGTGTCAGGTGTATATACAATATGCCAAACTTCAATGAGGAATTCCATGTGTAATTTGGACTAACTCTAAACCCACAGAACCAGCTGCAGGGCATAATTTCATTTAGTTATCATTTAGTTATTCAGAGAGCTAGAATTATAAAATGTAAACACCAGTATGGTGTTTTCAGGTGACAGTCTTTTATGTGATAGTTCTACTGTTGCAACTGTATTATAATTCAGGTGCATGTGTGAGTGTTGTGCAGTGTGTTTATTGACATGATCCTGTCCCTGTTTCTGTCCTGGGGTCGTTTTGAAGGAGCTTCATGGGGTAATACCTCCTCTACCTCTCCCATCTTGCTTGAATTGTCATTATCTGTGTTACTGTATGTACTGTATGTGAGAGAGAAAACATACATGGCTTACACTGCAAAAACAAGTAATTTCCTCACATATTCAGTCTTACTTCTTGAAGTGTATCTATGGCAGGTTTTCTTCAAGGACATTTCATAGTATGAGCAGTGCGTCTCTATTGTATACAAGATACCATTGTTTGTTACTGCTGTTAAGTAAACATGAATGAATATTCCTTTAAATTACAACAAACATCATTTGGCTTAGTTGTTTAGTGAATTCCAGTACTTATTTTACAAATATGCGTGTTGGATTTAACTAAACCTTTTCTGTGTACTGTATGGAATTTTATTTGTGCTTCAGATCTTTGACATTCACAAGTACAGAAATGAAAATGTGAAAGTTGTACACAGATAAGAAAAATTTTGTTGAGAAATTATAGGCAAAGAAGAATTGCAAAGAAAAAAAATCTTTCTCTGTTCCAAATGTCTCGTCATTCACAATTGAGATACAAATATAAAGCCGTGCACCTGTACTTCAGTCATTTCCTATATGCCTTGAATTAAATCATGACATTTCATTTTCCTCAATACACAACACGTATAGAAACTACATTTAAATTCTAGTGTAAAGTAGGAAATCACCTCATCATCACTGATTTCTTTTTGTGCCATTGTCGATTATGTTAATCGTAGAAAGAGTCAAACAGCAAAGTCATGTCAGAATGACAAGATATATCAACATCAGCTGCACAAGTGTATTTTTCCTTTACAAGACTGTAAGACATGCAGTATATGAAGTGAAATTGCTTGTGAGGATGGGACTTTTTGCAGTGTGCTCTGTTGTGTCTGGGACATATTCCCATCTTGCAATCCATCTAGACCTTCCTGTACTTGACCGTCACGTGCTTGGCTGAAGGTCGTTCCTCCATGCTCTCATCTGCTGCACAGGGGCATGTCACCTGTGTGGTCATCATCCTTATCTTCCCCAAGCTTCTGATGGGAGATACTTTGATCACCACTTTGCCTGGACTGGAATGATACCATCATTTTCACATTCTCTCTTTCTAATTCACCAGAGGCTCACTTACTGTAACAAGCAAGCTGCTGCCAGAGGACATGAGTATGTCTCAGGGAATAACCATCTTCTCTGTGATCTGAGCATGCGTATAGATGCATTCGATTAGACTGATAGACTGAATGACGTGTACTGTGTGCTGCTAACTTTAGGATTTTTAATGCTGCCCTATGACTATACTGTCACATCACCTCCACTTACATGCAGTGTGTTCTACACTATCCTATTTAACATGTACAGTATCTGTTTGACTAAGCATCATCCTGCAGTCAGGAATATGTTTATATGGTTCGGTTCCAAACCTGTGCTGAACAGCACTTGTGAATACTGTTTCATGAATGAAATTCTTATACAGTACTTCCAGAGACAGACAACTTGGGTAAATGTTCAGTATTAAATAAATAAGACACTATGAAATGATGCTAACCACCCAGTGACCTACAGTAGCACTATTTATAAGGAGTTATATCATTAACTAGCTACAGCACTACAGAGCTAACTACTGGACATTAAATTGTGTGGTTACAGCTTATGCCAAAAACTCCTATTCAAGACTGGCACAACTACAGTACAGTATATTGCTAACTATGTCGATGCTGGTCCTGGATGTTAATACAGTCATGGCCAAAAATATTGGCACCCCTACATTTCTTTCAGATAACACACCACTTCTACCAGAAAACTGTTGCAATCACAAATTCTTTAGTATTCTCATGTTTCTTTCTTTTGTTTGCATTGGAACAACACAAAAAAGTAGCTGACTCCACCTTTGTGTGGTGTGGACCACACTGAGCATGGAGAAAAGAAAGAAGAGCAAAGAATTGTCTGAGGATTTGAGAAGCACAATAGTGGAAAAGCCTGGACAGTCTCAAGGCTGCAAGTCCATCTCCAGAGATCTGGCTGTTCCTGTGTCCACTGTGCACGACATTGTCAAGACGTTTACAGCCCATGGCTCTGTAGCTAATCTCCCTGGATGTGGACGAAAGACAAGAATAATCGATGGATTGCAATGAACGATAAAGAACCTCCATCAATTTCCAAACAAATCCAAGCTGACCTGCAGGCACAGGGTGCAACAGTGTTAGCTCGCACTGTCACCATCTGAATGACAAGGGACACTATGGTAGGAGACCCAAGGGGCCCCCACTGCTGACACAGGAACATAAAAAATCCAGACTATAGTTTGTCAAAACTGACCTGAAGAAGCCACAGCCCTTCTGGAAGAATGTCCTGTGGACAAATGAGACTTAAACAGAGCTTTTTGGTCGAGCACATCATTCTACTGTTTTCAGAAAATGAAATGAGGCCTTCAAAGAAAAGAACAGAGTCCCTACAGTCAAAAACGGTGGAGGTTCACTGTTGTTTTGGGGCTGCTTTGCTGCTTCAGGCTCTGGATTTCTTGACTTTGGCATTATGGCATTATGAAATCTGAAGACTACTAATGAATTCTGGGGCACAATGTAGGGCCCAGTGTCAGAAAGCACCAGAAATGGTTTCAGACAATGAGCTGGAGAGTTCTGAAATGGCCAGCGATGAGTCCAGATCTAAATCCCATAGAGCACATGTGGAGAGATCTCAAAACAGCAGCTGGGAGAAGGAAGCCTTCAAATGTGAGAGACCTGGAGCAGTTGGCAAAAGAAGAGTGGTCTAGAATTCCAGTAGAGATGTGGAAGAAAGTCACTGATGGTTACAGGAAGTGATTGATTTCAGTTATTTTGTCCAGAAGGTGTGCAACCAAGTATTAAGTTGATGGTGTCAATAATTCTGTCCACTCCATTTTTGTAGTTCTGTGTGGAATGGATCGGATTTGACTTTTTTCTCTGCTTTTTGTGTTGTTCCAATACAAACAAAAGAAAGAAACACGAAAATGCCAAAGACTTTGTGATTGCAACAGTTTTCTGGGAGAAGTGATGTGTTATCTTACAAAATGCAGGGGTGCCAATATTTTGGCCATGACTGTAGATAGCAAATTTAGGACTCTTTTACAATATTCTCACTTTAAACCAAGTCAGCTTGAAACATTAAAAAGTAAGCTGGAGATTGTTTCCACAGCCTCATGGCTTTCTATTTCTGTTTCTATTAGTTCTGCCTGAAAACAATAATCAATTGTTACTAAGGATTCTGAGTGTTATCTCTACCACAGTTGTCATGGCAAGCTGCATATGGGCTGTGCAAGATCAGTGAGGGGGCAAGGCTTAGTGAACAGTCAGTCCAACCAGTTTATTTCAATATTCTTTAAAAGGACATAGTAGAATAATGGCATTGAATTAAATTGATCTCCTGTAATCTCTCTGATTGTGATACGAGGCAGGAAATACCATTTGATAATAAAAAGCTAAGTTTAAAGACATTCCATATTTTAAGTTTTACAGTTATAGTTTATGTGTGTGTATTTACTTTTGATTTTTCATAATGTCTCAATTATTTATTTAATATTGAACCCTCTGGATCTCCTTGGCTGTGATTCTGAGTTATTTCGCATCAAGTCCTGAGATTAAATCAAACTCAAACAAATTATTTGCGAGGGCTTTTTGGCTCCAGGTCACTTCTGTTTCGGCAGTTACAGTTGCAGTCAGTTTGACTGACAGCTGTCATTCACTCACCAAGCATGTCTCCAGAGCTCATTCTGCCTGCCTTCCATCTGATTGACTTCCTGTGACAAGGACATCAAACCATAGCATTCCCATGTAAGATAAATCTGTGACTCTGTCATCTCACCTACTGGAACCTCTCAAGTGCTGAGCTCAGTCTGCAGCTTTTTTGGGCATTTCACATTTCATGCTGCAAACTGCAACCATGCCTTTTAATGTCAGCTTCAGATGCTAGTGATAACCCGGTTTTCAGAGCTGGGATGATATTTCTATCATTTTATTGTAATTATCAGTATCAGTAATTAGAGAATCTCCCAAGAGGCCTGTTTTGTTGGCATTTGCTCTTTCTCTTTGATGTTTTGGTTGAGACAGAGAAATTGTAGCAGTGTGCACTTCCAGAACAAGTGCTGAGCAAGTGCCTGTGTTAATTGCCAAAGGTCTTGATTTGTGTGTTACTTCAATGATAGGCTGCCTCCTAAAATAACAGGCACATTCAGTTCCAATCACACCTACTATTTTCTCCTCATATGGCCTGATACACTGTATTTGAATCCATTGTGGAGCCTATTCTTTACTGGGATTTATCTAGTTGTCTGCTACCAACCAAAATATATTTACATATAATTTTACATCTGTTTTCATTAATAGAAACTGTGTTGTCATATGATGCAAACATATGCTTTATTTTGTTTGTGTGTGTGAAGCATAAATCTGCTGTACCTTGTTTTACCACTGTTTTCCCCCAAGTAGAACGCAACAAGGTGTGACCAGGTGGGGAACCTCCCTATGCCACCCTGACCCCCACCCCCAGCCCCGCCCCATACCCATACCTTACCCCACCCCTTTTCCCACCAATCCAGCCCTCTCTAACCACCCTTGCTTTTATGCTTAGATCAGCTTTATGTATAAAATACATCAAATGCCTTTTTAATACAATCTTTGTCTGACAGCTTTCAACTGAAACCTGCCTCTGCCTTCCAAAACCACTGATGGTTTTTAGCCATTTCATTCCAAAATACTTTATTGCCCTTTTGAATGGATATCAAACTTAGCACTTTCTATTTTTATTTTCTATTTTCTAGGTCATAACATCTATAATGGGTTTTTAATGACATGGATAATTATTTTAATCATTTCCAGTTTTAGTAATAACCACTGAAAATCAAAAGGGTAATTTTAAAGTCTTTATATTACATCTTGTAATTTACATTTACAAGGAATCGTGTCTTAAAACTGTGTTTTTTCTCTTATGTTGGTCAATCTATAGTTTTTCACAGGAGGGAAGACCTGTTTACACTGAATTTCCCTCCTTTGTAACTTAGCAACATGAAGTACCTCAGTAACAGCAGTCAGTGATGGTAGGAGGTAAATGAATGAGAATGAATCACACAAAGCAGGTTAGAAAAACACATTTATTTTTGTTTTTATGAAGACTGAGAAAGGCCTAGTGAATACAATGTTATGTAAAGATGAGTAAGAAAAAAACTGTGCTTCTGACACACTGATTTATCAACAGTGTGTGTTTTGGAAGAAGGAAACCCACTGGTTTCTGGGAGGAAGCTTCAAATAAAAGTCCAACCATGAGAAGCCATGTGTTCAGATTTAGTAGTTAGTGGTTCTTCAGAAGAGAGTGCTCTTCAGTACCACCCTGCCACTACAGTAATTGGGGAGCGCAACACATAAATCAGACATATTCTTTTAATTTCTATGGTCTTATTCTTACGCCATCCATCCCACATAAGATGCAAGGAAGAGATGCAAGGAAATAATGTGAGGAGAGAAGAGTTGAGGAAACACACTTTTAATGAAATGAGACAACCTTTCTTCTGACTCATCATCTGAAGCAACATCAAATTTCTGATGACAGTGGCACAGCTGGATTAGCTGTCAGTCCCAATGTGTGTTGTACATCAGACTCATTATGAAACCTTTTCAACTTGTGTGAGTGCATTTTTGTTGCCTAGGGCCAATTCCCACTAGCGCCTGTGCATGGGCATAATATGCATTTGTTCCACCATGTGGTTCACATTCAGTTTGAAAACATCTTTACAGAATAGTTGCTTCATACCTTTTGTGGAACGAGGAGCTTATTACTTAATCAATGTCCGCATTGGGGGTGACTGTGGTTCAGTGGGTAGAGCAGCTGTCTCCCAACTGGAGGTTTGAATCTCGGTGCCTGCAGTCCACGTGTTGAAGTGTCACTGGGCAAGACACTGAACCCCAAAGTTGCCCCCAATGGTTAGAGCCGTTGGTGCTGCAGATGGCTTGTGTGTAACATATTTGGCCAAATAAAGGTGATTATCCTTATATTATTATATAAGTAGTCCATTAAGACAAACTTGAAAATAATCGGAACCCATCCTTTAAATCATGGGGGCAGAGAGAGAGACAGACAGACTCTGGGTGTGTAGTGGAGGTAGAATGACAGCAGGCTTGAGAGTGATGAAAGAGGGTCCAGCTTTGTTGTCAGTCCAGGAAAATGAACAGCTGTGGCTTCAGCCACATCTGAGCCCAGTGTCATCATTTGAACCTTCACATCTCCCTAAGTGTCTAACAGGCTTTTGTCATATTTTATCCCTTGTATCCTGACTATATCTGGGTGTTGAGGGCTATTCTTCTGAAACCTTTCAGAATATCTACTATGAGGTTGTTTCTCTAGCCCTCTTCAGTGTGTGAGTGTGTAGTTTAAAAACACCAGCCCTATTGTATGTCTCTGTAAACACCTGCCAGACTATCATCAGAGCATGGAAGCTGTTGTATGTGGTTGTGATTGGAGTAAAGGGAACTCATAAGGCCACAGGGAAAGACAGAAACTAGATCATAATATTACATGGATGCCATGCTGTTTATCACCCCATAGCTAATTGCACTGCTTCTCAAAGTGGAGTCCACTGTTCTTTGGGGGTTTCTAAAGAGCTTGTATTAACATTTAGAACTGTTCCCTATATTTAATGTCAGAAAATGTTCTAAAAGGAGACATTAAAGAGTAGATACTGTACATTACACTGTTGCCACTGTTATCTTTCTTCAACTGGCCTAATTGACAGGTGTATTATAATGGTGCTGCATCAGTATTAATGCGGGCACTGTACTACTGTACCAGACTGATGTGATGAAAAGGGGGTTGAGTCTCAAGATGAAGCTCTCAGTTATCAGTTGATTTATGTTCCATCTCTCATGTACAGTCAAGATGTTTGGGCACTGACCTTAAGAATGGGTTCACAGAATTCATCCATCGAAAAATCATTTAAAACCAGCAGTGTGCTTAATGTGAGATATCTCAAAAATGAACACCTTCAAGAACACCATCTCTCTGTACCGATCAAAGTACGTGTTCTATTGATAACTTTAATCCCAAACAAAAAAATGTGTGAGCGTATAACTTCGGTTATAAAATGTGCTCTCCCAATAATTTTTTAACATTGTCTGTTGGTTCACAAACCTCTGACTTAAAGAGACTCACACTGAACCTGATGTGACCCCGTAAAGAAACACATGCGCAGACTGTCCCGGCTCCAGGGCTGACAGAAGTCACTGTGTGTGTGTGAAGGTATAGACAGGATCAGTCTGGTTGCACTGTCACGCACCTGCAGTACATTTGATAATTGTTTAGACCACTGTGATGGCATTTCTCTTTACTGTCAGGATTATTACAAACTAGTCAAATGATTAATGGAGAAAATAATCAGCAGATTAATCCATAATTAACATAATCAATAGTTGAACTCAGATACAAAGTAGTTCAAAAGAACTCCACCTCAACCAACTACAACAGCCAAGTCCTGCTTTTACATCAGCGCATGGGTGATATAATATATCCCATACAGCTATAGTATAGCTTTTTTTCTCATTGAGTAGCCTACTTCTTTTAATACTTTAAGTACATTTTTGTGATAAATCTTAATTTTACTTAACATTTTCAATGCAAATCTTTTGCTGATAACAGTGTGATATTAGTATTTTTACTTAAGCAAAGGATGTGAATACTTCTTCTATTACTGGTGCTAGCATGCAAACCAACATGCTTTAGTTATATGATGTTACAGTTATATCATTTTTCAAAAATCATTCTCATTCTTCTGAGGGTTGCTGTAGCTGATAATAGTAATTGTGTAATATCATATACTGTAATACCATGAAACCATGATATTTTCGGAGGTGGTTATCATACGATGAAACTCTCCTACCGTTGGAGCCCTACTTTCCTGTGTGGAGTGGGTTCAACAGGTGGTTCAACCATGTGATAACAGTGCATCCTGGACACCTCCCTTTAGATATTTTCTAGCATGTCCAAAAGCAGTTAACCCAGGGGGAGGTCCAGAATATGCTGGTGGATTTTACAGATGCATGACAAACTAGAGGAAAAACTCATATAAAGTGACCAACATAGAGTTTTTAGTAAAGCATCTCTTCAGGTCTCTGTTGGAGGGAGGAATCATCCTTCTTCCAAAGCAGATTCCCTCACTGTGTCCAACACGCTGTTTTGTCCTCATTAGGCTATTCAGTAACCTAGAGCTGCAGCCATCAGTCAGTTCATGGAGAGAAAATTAGCCACCAACTATTCTGAAGAAAAAAATCACCAACATTTTCTGGTTCTGCATTAATGATTGGAACTGATGCTTTTCTTTGACAGACATGAGAATATACTGAATATTTATATATTTTCTCCAGTTTTTGACATTCTTGGATAAAAATATAAATCAAATAAACAAGAAAATATGCAGCAGATGAATCAGTGACACCTGATTAATTTATCTAGTAGAAAATTTCTACTCAGTTATTGGCATTTATTTACTGTGAAACTACAGTAAATCGTGTTGTATCATAACATAAAAGTTGGCTGTTGACTCTAAATTGCCCATAGGAGTGAGTGTGAGTGTGTGGTTGTCTGTCTGTCAGCCCTGTGGTAGCCTGGTGACCTGTCCAGGGTGGTCCCCGCCTCTCACCCAATGATTGCCCCACCAACAAATGTGATGAGCACATTCACCTCACACAGTGACATCTGCATCCATTAACACTCCAATTCTGTGTATCTTGCCACTTGCTACAACAGTAGGAATTTTATTCCATCATTTACAGCTGACATTAAGAACAGCTATAAAGATATTAACCTTTAGATTGGATGATACAGCATAAGAACTAGTTGATTTGAAGCATACAGTACACTCTAGCATCTATGGGGATTTCCAAGCAATCCGGATCCACTCTTTGAAAGCATTTGCTGCTGGTGGAGCTCGCATAAACAGCTTTGTCATTTACTCTATAGTGGTTGGGGAGGCCAGGCTCCCATGTTTATGGGTGTGGACAGAAGAGCACTCTAAACCTCCGTGGGCAAGTGTCAAAGAACATATTGTAGAACTAGCCAAGAGGAAGCAAACAACCTTTTTTTTTCTTGTGAAGACACTGTGAGGTGCCACAGATACTGTCATTGTCTTCCATTCACCACATGAGATGAAATGAACAAGTGCCCTGCCTAGTGCTCATTGTTTTATCTATTATCGAACTGATATTATGTACAGTAGTCTAATCTTGGCATTACACTGCAGCAGAGATGGGAGTCAGCTTGTTCCACAGTAAATAATAAATAAGCACCATATGAGTTTTTGTTGTTGCTAAACGTGTTGTATTTACTGAGTATATTAAAAAACTATAGCAAAGCTAATCTACTTTAGATTCAGATTATTTAGACATACAGCATACTGTATGGCAACAACCACACAGCTGTCACCAGAATGTAATTCAAATATTACCAGTTGGTGCATGGACATACAGTATATGGCATTATGTTTTCTAACTGTTTCCTAACTACTTCAGACTGTAAAAACATCCCAGACAACATTCAATTGGTGGCATTGTATGGCATGTGAAATGACCAAAACAGTGGTAGATAATGGTGTGCTCATGTAGAGCACAACTTTTCTTATTCATTGTTATGAAACAGAAAAAAAAATCAAAGGCCTTTGAAGTTGTAGGGAGTGATCTTAGAAAGTTAGTCAGGTATACTATACTATACTATACTATACTATACTATACTATACTATACTATACGGTAGGTAAGCTCTAGTGTTAGCATGTTAGTGAAGAGAAACCAAAGCTCACCCAACTGGTAAAAAAACAGTAGGTTTGGCCAAATGTTTAAAAACAGTTAAGGACAGGGCCAACCTAACATGTAGGGACAGGTCATCCCAAAGTTTTGGGGCTATGGGTGAGAAAACGACAGAAGGGACAACTAGGAGCAAATGGTCAGCAGATCTAAGGGCTCTCATGAGGCAGTAAGGTACAGTGTTTAAGACGTTCCAAGCGAAAGAAGGGGGCTAGGCCATTCAATTCCTTAAAAGCCATTAAAAGAACCTTAAACTATATCCTGAAAGAAACTGGTAGCCAATGAAGCGAGGCCAGGGCAGGAGTAATATGGTCCCATTTATGAGAATGGGTTAACAAGCAAGCAGCAGCATTCTGGATGAGTTGTAGTTATGGGATACACCGGTATAAAGAGAGTTACAGTAGTCAAGGTGACTTGAAATAAAAGCTTTTTTAAAATATTCCTGGGAAGAAAAGGTTTAACCCTTGATGAAAGCCTCAACTGAAAAAAACTGTAGCTAATTAGCATTAATTTGTTTGCCTAATTTAAAATCACTGTCCAATATAAATCAAAAATTTTTGACAGACGGTTTTAGAAAGGATGACAGGGAACCCAGGTTCAGAGCAGGATTGGTGCAGGTGGAATTTGGAGTAAAAATTTTCAACTTTGTTTTACTTTCATTTAAATTTAAGAAATTTGCGGCCTTCCAGTCTTTAATGTCAGTTAGGCAGTCATTGCTGTGTGACTATTTTAAACAGTCTATTTGCCCTGTTAGACTATTTTAAAATCAAAAGGAATGATTTAAAAAGTAAATGGAAGTTTTTATAAACAGGATTATACCCCTTTTTCTAAGAGTGAGATGAGAAGATCAGTGTCACTGTCTTGCCTATACTCTGTTAACTACAGACATGGTTAGCCCGGAAGCATAAAGTCTGCTGCAATAATGAATTGAGTGCCCCCTTTGTGAAGTGAAATGTGAAGCACTTACTATTGAAGGCTCTTCCTTGATCTGCTGTGGCATTAAGTACAGGAGCTGTAGTTCAGATGTTATATAATCTAAATATATTGAAAATAGACAAACCATAAGTAATTCCAGCCAACTAAGAACAAAATATGCCATAAAGTGGCTGAGGTTTTCAGTCTAAGAATTGAATGGCCTGAGGGAATGTACTTCTTTTAATAGAGTTGCCTGACTCTCCTCACAGAGAGGACAGTTGGCTTCTTTGACCCACAATGCCCTCAGTGTTTGAAAACGTTTCTCAGGAATTATTTAATTTAAAGCAGAATTGTAATCAAACAATAAGCAGAAATATGAGGAAGGACACTCCAGATGTTTTAACACATGGTAGAGACACAGGCACTTTGCGTTATCCACTGATCTGTTCCCTCTATATGCAAACTGATTTTGATGAAGTTGAATATAAGACAGAAATCTGTGAACCAACTGTTCAAAGGCCTTTATTATGACTGAGGTGACTGCTACTGATCTGTAAGAATTTAAATGATAACTTTTTTTAGGCACAGGCATACAAAATGTGAAGCACCTTGGACTGCTTAAGTGATTCATTAAAAATAAAGGTAAAATAAATGCTAACTGGCCTGCACAATGTTTGAGGGTAGCTGCAGATGCATCCTATCATGCACCACAACCACTTCCCACTAGTGTGGTAACAGAATTTTGTCAGGTGGAGTTTTTGTTGATACCCAGAACAAAACCCATGAACCCAGCTGATCTGATTCAAAAGCAGAAACGCATGTGACATAATTATTATTTCAGCTATCATGTTAAGTTTAAAGAGTGCAGGTGCTCTGGGTAATAATTCATAATCCATTAGTTTTTCCATATTAATTAATATATATTTTCATGAATGAAAATATGATGACATGTAATACCTCATTTGAAAGACTTGTAGACACTTTAAGACTGTACTGGGCATTTCCGGATACAATTCATGGTATCTCCATGACGAGCTTAGCATCTTGCAGTTAACAGTTTACCTGCTAGCTTGCACCTATCTTGTCTCTCCAAAGTAAAACATAGTTTGTGGGCCAAAACTAATATCCATGGACAACTGAGGGCTAATTTTGAAGAACAAAAGTCTACTGATTAATCTGATAAGTTTTCACAACTTGTCAGCAGTAAGCAACCTTGAAGAAAGAGGCAGTGCAGCAAATTAAGGAGTCTGACAAATGAAAACTTTGCAGACATCAGCACACGCCCAGGAGCAAAGCAAACCAACCAGCAGTTTTCTATGGTCTAAAATGAAAGATCTATGGGTGGGTCAATGAAATTAGCCTATAAAAAACCTGTACTGTTGTACAAGCCCCATGCTGGTTTTATTGACAGCTACAGTTGTCCAATAATGTGTAGCATGAAACCATTCAGGGATTGAAGCCAGTAAAATTGCCTGTCTAAACATGTGTATATTTATTTAGGCCTGTGGAGCAAACGGCCATAGCATGTATTATCCACACACTGTAGATATGTTAATGGATACATAGTGTGAATTTCACACTTCTATCCTATTTAATGACTGTCCTACTGTATTTGAAACATGAAAATAAAAGACAAAAAAGTGGCTAGCTTTTTCTGTGTTTAAAACTTCACCTGCTTAACTGTAGAAAGCCTATGAGTAAAAAACATACAAAATGAAACTCCAGAGTATTATCTTTACAGATCTTTAATGCCATGGACATGCACAAGCTCTAAAGCATTTTGGAATTAAGTTTTTTTTTAAATAATTAAAAAAAAAGAGCATATAAAATACAGGCAGATATGCATTTCACTCCAAAGGGTTAAAATCTGAAAGCCATTGTCTGCCTCATGTGCTGTTTATTAGTATTAGTAATGTGGAAATGTATTTATTTATTTATTATCATTACATGTTGTTGATAAACAATTTTATGTGTGGTCTAACCGTGTTTGCTTTCCACAGGGGGACCAAAGGCAAGGACCTCAGCACTATCAAGTCACTGAGGGTTCTCCGAGTACTCAGGCCTCTCAAGACCATCAAACGTCTGCCAAAACTCAAGGTTCTGCTCCAGAGTTTGTTTGTTTTTTAGTTTGTTTTTCTTCATTTTAGCTAGGATAGTGCAGCTCAGCTGTGATTAAAACTGAAAATCTTATGGAAATGCCAAAGGAGCATTTGTTTTATATACTGTACATGTGTGTGTGTGTGTGTGTTTAGCTGGTACATATACAACTAAATTGATATTGATGGAGCTAACCTGAAGTACACTGACTACCTGGTGTATGATAACCAACAGTTTGCTTCTTCTTCTTCCCTACCATCTTGACACACTGCTGAAATTCCTTGGTTCCTACTAATGATGTACTGTAGATCTTTAAAATTCCCACAAATATTGAATTTAGTTTACAAAAAAAAGGGTCAGTGATTTCCTACAACGGAGGACTGGGCTTTTGTTAGGGCCTATTTTCAGCAGCAGATTAATCCAAATTTGGCGTACTTGCCACAGCCGGACAGTGTACAAACTACAGTACACTGTGTGTGTTTGTTGTAATGAGGGAATACTGTATGCCACCCGGTGTGACAGTGTGGTTCACTGATGTGTTTTAATAGTTTTTGGACAAAAATGGAGCTTTATGGCACAGAGGAAGACGATACATCATGATGTGAATACACAAACAATACTTGTTCCATAAAACACTGCAGTAAAAATTTGAAACTAAGTCATTATTATAATACAGTCCATTTACCATTATTACATCATTTTAAATAAGCTCAGCAGAAACCACAACTTGCTGTTATCAGCCACAGTATATTCATGCTTATCTGAAAGATACTTCGTTTAAGTCTTTCTGCACTTTATTGCCTTCAGCTCTGCTCCATCTGACTTTTTTACTGTCCACCCTAAGTTTGAATTGTTGCAAAGTAGTAATTTTATACAAGCTTTTAAACTGTTAGCTGTATGCTTTATTACTTACAAGCTAGTGCCCCACATTGTCCAGACACACCAGCAAGCCAAGCCAAGCCAAGCGTAGCTGAGAATTCTCTCAGTATTCCTAGTATAGGCTGGGCCTGCACAGGTCCCACTTAGAATAAGATTCAGATGAAGAGTAGCAGTTTAAAGACAGTACTGGTTAAAAAAGAAGCATGTTAACAGAATTTTCTACTAGCAGAATTAATAGAAAATAACTCTCACTTAAGTTGAGAAATAATTTTCTCCAAACAAAAATATTTTTGTGTGTCCTCAGGCGGTGTTCGACTGTGTGGTCAACTCTTTAAAGAACGTGCTCAACATCCTCATTGTTTACATCCTCTTCATGTTCATCTTTGCCGTCATTGCAGTTCAGCTCTTCAAAGGAAAGTTTTTCTACTGCACAGATGCCTCCAAGGGCCTGGAGAAGGACTGCAAGTTGGTCAAAAATCCCCAAGTTCCTTGTTCCTTATTGTTGGAAATGTTGTCTTTGTAAACTGTCAGATATTGGTGTGATTAAAAGCAGACCCTCTGCCTATAGTAACCCCACTCAACTTTATTTATGCCTTAATGTCTTCCAGAGGACAGTTCCTAGATTACGACAGAGATGAGGTAGCTGCCATGCCCAGAGAGTGGAAAAAATATGACTTCCATTATGACAATGTGCTGTGGGCCTTCCTGACCCTGTTCACTGTCTCCACTGGGGAGGGATGGCCAACGTAAGTGCTGCTCGCTTGACTCCCTCTTTAGGTTAAAGACATATCCTGAATGTCACGTCTAGGATGATAATTCACTGTTCATGTCACATCTAGGATGATAATTCACTGTTACAACATACTGTAATTGTTGTAGATAATTCAAAAAACACAGAAAAGCCTTGTGCTGCTGTGGCTCAGGTATTAGCAAAATGTTTTCTGTTGGTTTTGCATAGTGCTAAACTTGTGTTTGCATCCACATGGTGATGGATGTAAGCCCGGATTTCACTGTCCCTTTACAGTAGCTCTAATTTGGTCTCCACTGATGCCCCCAAAAAATGTAATCTTTTTGTCTAAACACAACTTCCTTCCCCTGCTAGAGACAATGTTAATGACCGAATCAAACTGTAAACTTGCAGGCCATAAAACCAAAACCATGAGCTGAAGCACACCTGTCACTGATCAATCACCAGCTGAGATAGTTTCAAGTGGAGTGCTCTAGGTCACTCAGCAGTCTTACTCCAGCTTGTGATAGGAAACACCAAAGTTAATTATTGACCTTACAGTTAGTAATTTGGATAGACCATTTTAATGCAGAGTTAGAGCTAGATTTGTGTGGAGTACAGAGTTTATGATGACTATTGCTATGAGTGACATCTTTCACATTGCATGTTGTTTTATTGACATTAACATTACACACTAACATTTTAGCCATTGTTAATATAAGAATATTAATTAGTGCAGGTTTGAGGCTGTTTAACAGAAAATTACAGGAGCATTCTGTGTCACTCTGTGGCGCACACGGTCTACTGTGGCCCTGGAGGGCTCTGGATATTTATGAGTCAGGGAGGGTCTAAACAAACACGCTACTGAGTTGCCAGTGTTGTTGTAGTTTGATCCATACTAGAGAATGTCTCAGGCTCTTCTGCACTAATATTCATTACTCTCCTTTTATTCTGACTCTCAATACTCCCCCAACTTTCTTGAGGTGAAATACTATAGTAAATTGCTGGAGAGCCCATTTTTAGGAGAAACACTGAAGATCAATGGGACAGTGACAAGTCAAACTCAAGTACTGTTCTAGACAAAATAAAAAATACACCCTTGTGTATCACTACCTTAGTGCTACTACATGTCCTACATATAGATACACATCCTTTCAGTATCATGCAGTGGAGGGAATAAAGACTGAGTCACAAATGAAGGAAATGGTGTTGGCAGGATTTCATAAAAGGAACACACTAACCTGTCATCTTTCCTTTACAAGTCTCTAGCTGGTCACTTGTTCATTAGGACCCTATGTAAAGAGCTGCTGGTATCTTTGCACTGCTTTTCATTACTTTGTTCTGTGAGTAAGTTGCTGACAAATGATGTTCTGTAGCTATAAAGTGCTAGACTGGGGCTTCTTCTAAACTACAGTACTATAACCCTTGTATTGAAAATATGTCTTCATATCATTATTGCTGAATATTAATCCCATGCCTATTATACTATTTGGATTGTAATAGGCATCAGAATATTTGTTTTACTGCTGCACTGGAGTACATTACAGAGTGAATATCTTGCTGTATCATCTGTTTTACTGCTGCACTGGAGTACAACATTACAGAGTGAATATCTTGCTGTATCTCACCTCGTGGCTCTTGTGTGGTGCTTTAATCTCTTTGCAGTGTCTTGAAGCACTCTGTGGATGCCACCTTTGAAGACCAGGGTCCCAGTCCAGGCTACCGAATAGAAATGTCCATCTTCTATGTGGTCTACTTTGTGGTCTTCCCTTTCTTTTTTGTCAACATCTTTGTCGCTCTGATCATCATCACCTTCCAGGAGCAGGGAGACAAGGTCTTGTCTGAGTGCAGCTTGGAAAAGAATGAGGTAAAGCACAGACATCACAAGCAACTCTGAGCTTTATTTTGGCATCCATAAACGGTTTTATTTCATCTCTCCCTTTTGTTTGCTGGACATTCTCAGTGGAAACTCTGTGGAGCTCATGTTCTTGGAGATATACAGTAACCAAACTGTTGATTTGTCCAAACAAATACTATGCAGATTGGTGACATGGTGTGATTGGCAGCTGTGATAGCTGCTTAAAATGTTTAAATGTGGTTACAGTTTGAATGATTCGAAACCTCTATACACCTCTATACACACACTGATTACATCTTTCTTAGTCCAGCAAAGAATGTTCCTCAGAACAGTCGAGCAACTCTCACAGGTATTGTAAATATACACGTTGATGATAAATTATAGGAAAAACCCCAAATAAATGAATGGAGAACCATATAATAACAAATGCAAATGTTCCTGTACAGGACAAGAGGTTTCAGAAGAATGGTGTTCATCCTCCAGTAGAATTTGAAATACTTGCAGAATATATGACAGCAATACTGCCCGCAGACATTAGCCACACATCTATTGTGAACAAAGGAGGCCCAGCAAGTCTGACTAAACACACACGCACAACCAGTCACAGATAAAGGTGTGGACAGAGTCGGTTCCTGGTCTCACTTTGCCATTCATGTTGCCCTCATCCATCATCTCATTCAAATGTAGCATTTCCGTTCATTTCTTTCCCTTTGCCGGCTGCAGAATGAATCACCTAGGCTTAACTTTCTGATGAATGTCTGGTTCTTTTTTTAGAATAGGAGCACACAGGAATTGATATTTTCTCAAGACTTGGATGTGACAAGACTATTATCATAGCCTATTTATTGCCCAGTGTGTTGTCTCTGTATTTACTCAGTCATTCATTATGTGCTCTTATTTTGGCTTGTGAGACTAAAAAAAATCTGTGTATGTGTGTCAAAACTGTTGTTATATGTCTTTCATGTTTCCAGTAATCTTTGAGTCTGTTCCTTGCTAATCAGCTAAGATGCATGTTAATCTAATCCTTTATAGTGATCCACAGGTATTAAACAATTAGTACCTGGGACTGAAAACTGTTCAGTTCAGTTCAGTGTATTTTATTATGCACCATGGTGGAAATCTGTCTTTAGCTCCCCATACTACAAACACACACTCAAAATACATCTTATAGAAAAAATAACAAAGTAACATATCACTAAAAATACAGGCCAACAAATCATATCACTAAAATATATTAAATAAAATCACTCAGGGCAATGAAGACCATAAATAACTGCAAAAATCAAGTACAGACTCATATCTGCATTAAACATTCTACAGTTGCTTATTCAATAGATTGGATGCTTTTGGTACAAATGAACCTTTATATATCTTTAGTTGCTAGAACTTCCTTCAGTGCACAACAGAGTATATTAATAGAAAATGTATTTTTTATCCACTGGTCACTGAGGCTTGGGATAACTAATGAAGACAGTGAAGCAGAGGTGTGGTTTCTCTGTTACAGAGGGCTTGTATTGACTTTGCCATAAACGCCAAACCTCTGACGCGCTACATGCCCCAGAACACACAGTCCTTCCAGTATAGAATGTGGAAGTTTGTGGTCTCAGCCCCGTTTGAGTACTCCATCATGATCATGATTGCTCTCAACACTGTGGTACTCATGATGAAGGTAAGAACCTTTGAAGAGGGTCTTAATAATACACTGCAAATTTGATATAGTTGACTTTCAACTGTTTTATGAAGTCACTCCCGGATACATTAGTTCAGGAAAGTAAAAGTTGGACAATTTGACACATATTCTCATTCCCTTTCTCACTGAGACTTAGATGTTCAAAGTGATACCTCTCTCATGTCTGTGCATTAAATATGAAGATACAGTGAGCAACTGTTTAGCTTAGCTTAGCATAAATACAGAAGGAAACAACCAGTCTGGCTCTGTCCAAAGGTAACAAAATCTGCAAACCAGCACCTCTGAAACTCACCCATAAACAGTATGTTAGCCAGATATAAGAGTGGTATTTATCTTCTCATATGATTCTCAGTGAGAAAGCAAATTGTCAAGTTGTCTTTTTAATTGTATTACACCCACAAGCCAGCAAGAAAAACCTGAAATGCTATTCACCTCTGTTTTCCAGTTCCATGGAGCTCCAGACTTCTATGAAGCAATGCTGAAGAACCTCAACATAGTCTTCACCATTCTCTTCTCTCTGGAGTGTATCCTCAAGATCATTGCTTTTGGGCCTCTGGTGAGTGACATTTTTAAAATAAGACTAAATGTCCTCAATAATAAATAACTAATGATTTTGGAATGTTGTTTCTCAGAACTACCTAAAGGACGCCTGGAACGTGTTTGACTTTGTGACAGTGTTGGGCAGCATCACTGACATCCTGGTGACTGAAATCAATGTAAGAGCACCCACTCCACCCTCTGCTCAGCAGGGCTGAATGCACTTTATCCAACGCTGTTGGCATGGTAATGAACTGGAGCAAGGATAGCCTGTAAAGCAAGCTTGATGGAAACAAGCTAACTAGCCACATCAGCAAAGACTGTGACATGGCACAACATGGCATGACATGGGGGATTGTTCGCGGGTATTTTGTTGATAGGAAGGATTCATCATAGAGGGCCGATAAAAGAGCTGAGGATGGGCAGCTACACGTCAGAAAGTAACCTTTAACATGTGGGTTACACTGGAGCCATACTCTGCTGTGCTGTCTATGTTTGAGAGTTTCTTTATTCATTCCAGGCTGTTACTTTCAGTGCACTTATTGTACCTGTGAGCATGTGTAGACTGTGAAGTAGCCTTTGACTGATATATATGTGTATTTGTTGACTTGTATCACTTTATGTTGTACAATATGCTCCTGTTCTTGTGCTTCTTCTTCTTCCATTTTCCTTTTTATTGTTCTTACTCTGCCACTCTTTACTCTCTCTCTTTCTTAATATCTCTGTGTCTTTTGTCTTTGTCTCTCTCTTTTCACATTTACATGTTGTTGCTTGTCATCACTGGTGTTGCCATGCCCTGGTCCCAAACATCACTAGACTACGGTGAGTGATTTTCTATTGCCATTCTCTGCTCTTAGCTTGCATAGTGTTTTATTAGATACTGTATATAAAATTTTAACTTCAACAATTTAGCATGCTGGAGAGATTTTGAGAAGAGGCACTGCAAAGCTGATGCACCAGATGCCCACATATCATGACTAATGCCCCCTTTGAAACATCTACAGTAACTTGTTACATATAGTAAATGTGATGGCAATCCAACATGGTGGTCTTATGTCTACAGTTTCTGAGTCACTTTTATTGTCAAAAATGACAACCTGACTGAGTTGGACCAGTAACATTTCTGTTCAGTATGGCACAAATCTGAACTGAATGTAATTTGCTAACACACATTTTTCAATATTGAGTTGACTTTTCCTCACAGTCAGTACAACCGCAGTCAGTACAACAGCGATGCTAGTTAAGGTTAATGGTTGCTGTTTTAGGTCATTGTGTTATGAGACAAAGGTTAGTGTTCCAGTAGATTTGATCCTGTTATGAGTATGAAATGTTTTGGTTGCATTTGTGCATGTTGGGTGTTAGATTAACTGTTGTGCTGTTGTGAAGATGTGGTTTGTGAATTGTAAATGTAATATATGATCTGCAACACAACAAGCTTATACAGTGCACACAGAATAAAAACTGTGCATGGCGTTCTGTTTTCTAGAGAACTGTCAAGCCTGGTAAAATGTATTTATTTATACAGTAGCCCAATATCACATAGTAGAAATTTGCTTCAGGGCGCTTCACAGTTGGTACAACTTGTGACACCCTCTGTCCTTACAGTAGCTTGAATCAGATAAGGAAAAAACATGGAAGAAACCTCAGGAAGAGCAACAAAGGATAGATCTCTGTACCTAATGTATCTTATACAAGAAAATAAAATCCATCCATCCATCCATCCATTTTCTTCCGCTTATCCGCGGCCGGGTCGCGGGGTCAGCAGTCTAAGCAAAGATGCCCAGACCTCCCTCTCTCCAGACACTTCCTCCAGCTCCTCCGGGGGAATGC